CTGGAAACAAGGAAATTCAAGTTCAACCGTCTTACTTTCTAGCATAAAACTTTACTTGGGATACCTTTTTGTCTTCTTAAAGAATTTGTCCTTGGATTTTAATACGAGTGTCGTTCAATAAGTAATGCAAGTAATGCAATATACTGTACATACATCATAAATAAATGTAGTTGTATTTAATTTTATTTTTTCACAGTTGCAAATTTCTATTAAAAAGCTCCTAATCATAGAAAGCCCACTGATTTTTCGTATTGTCTTTGCAATTAGATGTTCATGTTTTAAAGGAAGCATGGTCGCTACACTAAGCTGAAAACTGTTTATAAATGATCTCTGCCAAGAAAATGAAAATGAGAGTGTGTGTGTAAAAACTGCTTTTTACATAAATCGCCGAAGAGCTTTAATTAAAGATATGATTTTTGTTTGTGGAAAAAATAATCTTAAACGCTGTGTAGCTTTCAGATGGATTCAGAAATTCAAAAGGAAAAGAGGAGAGTTAAAATAAAGCAATCAAACTGTTCAATTGAAATCTGTGGGGACACCAAAAAATATCTATGCTCTGTGCCACATGCGTATGATATCTGAAAATGCTAGATTTACGCTGAAAGACGTTGTTAAGACACTAAACATTTCATCATCACAACGCTTAATAGATTCTGACAAAGGAAAAAAAAAAATGATTATATTTCTTTCAGATTTGTGTCCTATTTTCTTACAAATGCCTTGAGGGAAAAACACGCGTGCGTTACGCAGCTATGTTAAGGCTTCCCGAAGCTTTAAAATGCGCTCAAAACATAATATGTCATTGCGAGGTCGGTTTTGGTTTTAATTTATTAGTATTGAACTTAGTACTTCCAATTTATATAAAAGGTTTCCTCGGCTATATATTAACATATTTGTTATGATATCACATGACATTGTTGATCACGTGAAGGTCATTTATAAGTTTTTGAAGTGTTTCATATAAATTGCTTTGGCGCATCTGATTAACACGATAATTATTAACAATTTGTTATATAAATAAACTCATCGTATCCTTGTGTATCCGAAATGTGCTTGGGAAAAGTCATGGTATTACTTTGGAGGTCCGTGTTTGCTCTGCTCCTATTTTGCATTGTTTTATGGACTTTTGAGCTTGAATACTGTTCGTTATCACCATATATTTCATTGGGTACAAATATTTCCTGAGAAATTCAACTTACCTTCAAATTTGAGGGTATTTTCCACATAATATCGTAATCTATATTAAAACAAAGCCAACACACATTTTTCCCAAGCAAGATTCAGTTAGATAACAACCTCTTCTTACAGATTTCCACAAAAATTCTCAGATTAATCCTCATTAATCATCTGCGCCAGACTCTTTTATACACACAAAATAAATTCAACCTCCAACCACGGGTATAAAACAGACTACATTTCAAAAGTGTATTTTTCATAAGCATTTTGAACATGCTGAATTTCAATCAAGGGTAGGTAAGCGGTGTATTTCTATAATATTCGAACATATAAGACTTAAAAAACCCTTAACGACCCGTGAATTTTGCAATAGCTATCTAGCATTTAACATGCAGTTTGAAATAAAGTGTAAAGTTCATGACACTCTCCCCGTCATAACACCTCAAGTTTGCAGTGACTTGACGTCATTTTCCATTATGACGTCATATTTTGGTAGTTGAGAGATGTGAAGGCACAGAGTGCACTGTAATATTCTACGGGAAGCCTTAACCTACCTGTGTAAATGTGCCAACAAACTACTTAAGAAGAGATATTTTAACAAAATATAAGATTTGATAAACTTGCTTGATGGATAACGAAAAAAGGTGCACTTTTTATAGCCGAAATATAAGATCAATAATAAAATGTGGAATCAAAGAAAAAGCTGTCATTTTATTATGGTTAAGAGAAGCAAATGATCCAAACATGTTTTATTAGTTTTCATTTTTTCAAGAGGTCCAGTAAAACATGTACATACATCCAAATGAAGGACTATCAATGATAACTTTTATGTTCAAATTGCACTAAGGAAAGTTAAACAGGTTCCCTGCAAAGAAAATCCAAATACCGGTCCCAGTGTAATTTTCCTGTACCTGAAAACATGTACAGCTGCAAATAAGCATAGAGAAATAAGTAAGATTTTGAAGAAAAGAAAGTATACAAGGCTTTTTCATCACCCATATTCGCTAGATCTCCGCTATTGTGAGATCTTTTTATCCCCAAAACACATGAAAACAATCAAAGGAATGTACCATATCAGATATGTCAACATGGGGAGTGATATTCATCAGTGTCTATGGGGTATCCCTAAAGATGAGTATGCTGAGGTTTTCTGGTCATGGGTATAAAGACATAAGACATATGTAAAGGGTACATGCAACAGGAAATGCTTTAAGGGATTGAAACTAGTAAGAATATGTATTACGTATTTTTCTTATTTTCAGACGACATTTTGCATTATTTAATGAACTACCCTCGTACTGATATTTTTTGTCATCATGTGACCCTCGATAGTAAGGTGGGCTACTAATTGAGTTTAAAAATATAAAATATCTAAATTATCCGAAAGTTTCAACGCCAAAGCAAAGAAAAATTACACTGCACAACATTTCAATGTGACCCTATGTATCTTTCTTAAAAATAATGCTCATTTAGTGAGATTTCTGGTATTATTTGGTTATTCAGTAAAAAAAAAAAAAAAAAAATACCCGTATTGTAGAAAAGAATTTCCCCTATAGTCAGCTCCCCTCCCACCCTCACCCCCAATCCCCGGAAAATGTACTATAGAGTAGGATTTCCTCCCGAAGGGAAATCTAATTTAAGAGTCAATTTTCCCCTCCTTTTTTCTCAGAGTAGAGTTTTCCCCCTTGTATCAATGCTTTAATCATATTGACAATTTCGCTAAAAGTTTATATGAAAGTCAACCGATTTTTTAGTGGAAATATGAATGCTTTCGATTTTAGAATTGTCAAATTTAGCACAAAATCTTAAAATAAATAATTTATTTTACATAAAAAAGAATTTATAAATTTGTCATTCAAAAATCGTAAGACTCACCTCTCCTGTCTAGAGGCGTAGATCCCGTTTGTTCAGGATTGTAAAATGAAAACCTTTAGTGATACGATAATATGTTTGCTCTCTAAAGACCCATAAAGGGATCTTTTTTACAAAGTTAAGGTATGTGAGGAAATTCTAAAATTTATGTTATTGATAGGTTTCAAAGAAAAAAAAAATAAGAAAATCAATCCAAGAAACACTGCTTTTGAAAGCTGAAGTATATCCCCTTGACCTCTTCGGTGCAATATTGAATTCGAAATCAGAGAACAAATACTATGTTAAGTTTTGCAAAATTTCATTTTTTAGAAAGAAATAAATGATCCATTTACACATATAGACTAACCCAAATATTTTAAAGTCCCCTGGCAAGTTTTTGCATAACATGTCTTTATATTAAATTATTTTGACCATAAAATTTGATCACTTTAAAGATAAAAAGTAGGAATACTTTTTTTCTCTCAATCAATTTTAGTTTAGTGGGGTGATTAGGTCCTGCTCTTGATCTTCATGTTTTCCACTTCACTGAAAAAAAGATTTTTATTTTCTGTATAATATACCTCTGATGCTTCCTATTAGCTCATATGCATAGAAACGCCAATCATCAATACCTACCTTAAAATCACATGTGAAAACACACTTCATATTGGGCCAACGTCGGTCCAGTATATCGGGCCTACAATGGACCAGTGAGCACAATGTTATATGCCATCTTGGTCCAATGTTACCAGTGTCGTTGACCCATTTTGGCCCAAAGTTAAATTGCTATCGGGGATTAAAACTTTTAATGGCCAGTACAAATTACCGTTATTTTAAAATATTATCTTGCAAGAGGGGATGCTTAATTACCCCTTTTAGACACCTGATACTACATCTGGAATTTCCAGAGTGGTCCTTGCATTATGCCCTCTTCACAGATTTGTATTGTGTTATGATTTTTTGACATGGATCACTGTTCTTTATTTTCACCGTTTTCGAACAGTTATCCTTTTTATGCACAATTTTCTTTATTATATAGCTAATAAACAGTCAATTTTATATATATATATATATATATATATATATATATATATATATATATATATATATATATATATATATATATATATATATATATATATATATATAATAAAAACAAACAAAAAGTAAAAGTCTAGAGAATTTTAGCGTTCAATATCTTGCCATTTTATTGAACGCTGAGTTTGTATCGCGTAAATGAGTATACCCGAAACATTCCGAATACGAGCGGTAAAATATCGAACCCCCTGTTAAATAAAAAAAGGTGTCTGGTCTATATCTCTTAAAGGCAGATTTATGAGAGGTTAGTGGCAGCTAGGTAAGATGTGTTTATTTTCACACAAAATTGAAATTATTTATTAATAATTTAGTACGCATTAGCCTCAATAAAACATCAATAAGCAAATCATACAGCTTGGTAAGGTCATTGTAATTATGCGATATTAAACACTTACAGGACAGACGTCAATTTAAATACCGATACAAAAATAAAATCTTTTTTATTTGAGATTTCACTGAAATAATTAATATAAATCAATGGGAGATGTTTATTTTAGCTATATAATAAAGGAGTTATTGAACTAAAATTGGTGAATATTGCCACTCGTTGGCTGTACAAATGCACTCGCAAACTCGTGCATTTGTACAACCAGCTCGTACCAATACTCACCAATATAAGTTCAATAACCCTGTAATATTAGTACAGTGAGTGTTATATTGTATGTCTAAAATATTAAATATGAAAAAGTATCCCTCACGCTAATTTTATCTATATCGTTAAGAATATGATAAATGATGCATCACTTATTAAAGAAAAACATTGTCCATTATTTTCTGTTGTCTTCTAAATTTGTTTAGCTGTCACTTATAAATTGAGTATATGCCGGTAGGTTCCGGAAAACTTTACTATCTATGTTTTAACAAGCACTTAATACACCGTCAAACACAGCCGTATAACTGAAGAGTTCATCGCAGCCCTTGCTGGAGTCATTGCTGGAGAAAAGGATTAAGAGCGTTAGAAGATACTCCCTGTAAAAATGTTGACAAAAATTGTCGGTTAGTATATTTTATTAAATTTGTCATTTGGAATTACAAATATGTACGCCATTTTACAACAGGGGTTGGCGCTTTCATTTATTTTCTTAAGATGTAAGTAAATTTTTTTTTTACTTCAACAGCGCATTTTCCATCTATAATCAGGAAGAATATACATGTATCATATATTCAGTGTGAAAAAATGTTACTAAACCTGTGAACAGATATAGCGCGTATATTCATCCTAGATATTGACTGCGATGTTTTGACTGGTATTCAAATGTGACCTATTTTGATTGTTTACAGGCAAAAGTAGGGAAGCCCGTGAATGACTCTGCAGTATCTTCTAGCTTTGGCTTCAGCTATATTGTTCACTCTCAAGGTAATAGGTGAAAATTTAAAAATGCTATTATGCATGATTTGATAAAAAGAAACACCTTCTTTTTATCTTATTTCAATGTCGAATTCCAACAAGTATTTAGCGATAATAAGGCAATCATGTACTCAAACGGTATACATTGTAATGATTGCATATATAACACATTTTGTCACACAAAAATGTAATTTGATGAAAATAAATATAATATACTTGAAAATCCAAGCGGGGAAGAAAAAAAATGTAGAATCATTTTCTCAGATTGAATCATGTATACTTATTAAGCTATTGACATATCGTAAAAAATATTTTTGTTTACATTACAGTATAAGACCTGTTTTGCTAAACAATGTATTGAATCATTTCCAACTATAAAAGGAGTGAAACAATGCCCGATGACAGAAGAAGCATGGCTGCATGCTGCCAAAAGGAAAAGGTGTGATGCACTAGCAAATATACAAACATGTGTCCCTGAGCCGGACAGATTCGTGTACCATTGTTTGGTAAATCAGTGGGGTAATGGGACGGTTGAAGTGTGCGCTCCAATATGGATTCTTACAGGTGATACTTCATATTATTGAAGGAAGGGCTTTACTTAAAAACATGAATTTGTTTAAAAATAAGGACAAATCGCTTTTGCTTGCTCAAATAGAGAAAATACCAGCAAATATAGTTTTTAGCTACTCTATCTTGGTCTAATATAATGCTTTGAATACGTGGATTTATTTTAAATTATGTCATACAGTGCAGATGATTTTTTTTTCTGTTTTGTGTCAAATTGTGGGTCAGTCTAACTAAACAAAAGCACCCTGAAATTAGGGTGCAGTGTATAGAGGGTCCTTAAGATCGAACCCTTTTTGCCTAATATTTTTTTTTTTAAAAAGATGTCATCACTGACCACTGACCAGGAGTATTGTGATTTTCTAATGATGTATTGTAGTGCACAAAAGAACGACAATTAAGCATTTCAGCCTTTTAAATGAAATGAATATGTAATAATTTCTGAGAAGTGAATTTGCATATATGCATTGCAATGCTACTACATTGAGGTTTCTTTAAATTGTTGATGTCTACTTTGCAACTATAACAAAAAGAGAGTAAGTATGAGAGAGAGTCATCAGGTATTTAAAGCAAGTAGCACCTGTCAGCTGATCGCACCTTACAGCAACCTACAAGCAGTAAAAATGATATGTGCTGATTTTGTTTTTAATTATCTTCTTCATGTATAATTAAACTTTGTAATTTGCAACATTTTTTTCTTTCCTTTTCGTTTTCACCGTAATCTGAATCAAAAAAAAAAAAAAAAAAAAAAAAAAAAAAAAAAAAATAATAATAATAATAATAAATTCAAAAATATATATATATTGTTAACAAGCGTTGTTGAACCAAAGTTATCATATCAATTCATGTCAAGCTTTAATGACTGAGTTTTACAAGATAAAACTGTTACTGCGATACTGTGCTACAAAGTAATAGGAAATTTGGGTAATAAAATGTCATCTTTGAATGATTACAGGGCACATTAATTTGGGTTCACATGATATGTTTTATATGAATTAGAAACTGGGAAAATATGATATTCTCTTACATGACTTCAGGCTGAATACTGTCTTTCATGGTTACAAGATATTGTGTTATGATATTGTCTCTCAAAATTACTGAATACTGTGGATAGCATTGTAATGCCATTCACAATTACAAGACACTGAGGATAATGAAATAATGTCTTACCTGAATTCAAGAGACTGTGGATAATTAAATGTATTACTGTCTTAAATCATTACAAGTCACTGTGAGTCTAACATGACTAAAGCACTTTCAATTTGGTAATAACATTGGATCTGACATGATAAAAAGACACTTTGGGTAATATTGTACTGTTTACATGAATAACAGGATCGCACGCGAGGTAGTCTATTACTTCTTACATAATTACAAGATATTTCGGATAATATATGCATTACTTCTTATATGATTATTAGACACTGTGTCTAATACGATGCTGTCTCACATGACTACAATTTACTGTGGATAATGTAATATTATATTACCAGATTCGGGGTACTTTAGGCATTGTGGCACTGTCTAACATGATTACAAGATATTATGTATATGATACTGTCTTACATGAATATTAGATACTGAGGGTGAATTATAATCATAGGATATTGTGGGTACTATGACACTGTTATTGGGAAAATCGTCAACGATGTTCAGAAGGACTGTACAACTGATGTTAATTCCTGTCCGCTTAGGTACAATTCCTCGGAGTCTTTCAAATGTAAGTCCTTTAATGTTTTGTTTAAAAACTATAAAATACATTTACGTTCTAAAAGTTAAAGACAAGAGAGAAAAAGTATGTTTTATCTTTTTTTTTTGTTTTTTGTTTGTTTGTTTTGTTTTGTTTTTTTGCAAACTCGTAATATGTAATTTGAATCGTTAATGTATATATATATATATATATATATATATATATATATATATATATATATATATATATATATATATATATATATATATATATATATATATATATATATATCAAAAATATCTATATTTAAATTTTTGTAAAACATCATAAATACGAAGATAATAATTCAAATGCTTAGAATGGTTTTACTTTTTAAGACCCCAGATGCTATGACGTTAAGAAGAGTAAAGAAAACACACTAGGGGATTGTAAAAGGTAATAAAAAGGATCTGTATTTGTCTTTCTGGACATCATCTTTTATTTAAGTTTTAAGTTAATCACATTCATTACTATTTCAGCTCAACGGAATCGCAGAATGAGTGGATGATAATAGCGATTATTCTTGCTATATGTTCCTGTATAATAATTGCTGTTATATGCTGGTGGTCAAGACGAACAACAGGTATGTCGAATTTTATATCGTTACTATGTTCTGTCTCTATTGATTATATATTGCTATATCAGGAATATCATCTTCATTTTCAGGAAAATTTGAATTGAGAAATCATCAAAGAGGTACGTATTTCTTTCTAAAGATACAATGACATGAATCTTTAAGAGTGCCAATTTTGAACATAATGGCAGCTTTTAAACCCATTATTTAACGTTTCCAAAATGTTTTAATGCAAAACTGGAATTTAATGCGTGTTTGTGTGTGTGTTTTTTTTTTTCTAAAAAGGCCAAAATTCACACGGACAAGCTCAGGTTAATGGGGAAGAGGCTTTACCTTTGAATAATGAAACTTCAGATGGTACGCTAAAAACTATTTTTTTTGAAATTAATAAAACGTAATTATAAATCGTAAATGATCTCTTGTAAAAGAATGCATAATTAGAAAAGATATGCTATCTTTGACATGATCTATGACACTATGCAAAAGTTAATTTGATGTGGGTAGCAAGGAGAGAAAAAATAAAAACAAAACTAATGACTAAGAAAAGACTGCAATGTAAAGAGCTAAAACTTTGAATAATTTTTGAGTGAATATCATTATCTATTAAAGCTTGTGGAGCTGTTTCAACCAAGGAGGACGCACTCGACGAAAAACGGTTAGAATTGACAATAAATGTTTTATATTCTTCTCTAAATATTTAAAAGGTAATAATAAAGGTATATTTGATTTTCTTCTCAACATTTCCTTGTAGGACAAGTGGCAATATAACATCAATTGAAGTCTATGGCAGAGGTAAGGAGGTTCATGATCAACAATATAAATATCATAAAACTTGAATATATATCAACATTTACGTGCAATTTTTTCGCATGATATATCATAATGAAAAAAAAAAACAAAAAAACAACAAAATTGATTATTGACAAGACTTTTCTGGCAATACGTATCTAAAACAAGTAAATGTTAGACAAGCTAGAAGCTGCATACTTTGCAAATCCTGACATTTTTTTTTATCACAGCAACTAAAATACATTTAAAAATCAGAATTTATACGACTGGCAATGTTTAATTAACTCTGCTTCTCTCGTTGTGTTCGGTTAGATCTTCAGCAAATGTAAACAAGTAAGATGTCATGAACTGTTTAATAAAGGTCGTATAATTTGATCAATATTAAATCATATAATAAAACAATTATTACTGTTTTTCAATCAATACGATGGTTAAACCACATCACATGAGGAGTATGATATTCACCATGCACGAACAGTAATAAATGTAAAATATCTTTTTTTTAATACTGTGTGGGCGTACATGTAATAAAACACTTCTCTCGTTTAGAATTTGTATACCAAGCAACACCATCGATCCATGTTTATAGCAGGTAAGAGTTATTTCAAGAGTTACTTCTCTTGTTTTTTTTTAATCTTTAATAATTTAACATACAAATATTCCGACACATAAAAGAGCATTAGTGGTACATTTGTTTTATTTACATTTTTTAAAATCTTGTTCATTGCTAAAGAGAGTTACATATGGTGTTTATACCTTCTGGTTACCTTTTACTTTTTTTCCAGTGGAAGTTCAAATTATATAAACTCAGGTAAGCCTTTCTATTTATCTTGTTTTTTCTATTTGTGATATTTTGCTCTCACTTCTTTAGAAAAGGAATTTTGTATAATTGGAGTTTTTTTCTTTCATTTTCTTATTTTCTCTATTTGATAATTTATACAATAAAAATCAAATATGATTTAAATGTGTATAATTTTTGCAGACCAAAAATTGAAAAAAAATCAAAGAATATATATATATATATATATATATATATATATATATATATATATATATATATATATATATATATATATATATATATATATATATATATATATATATATATTGTATTTAAAATTCATTCTTAATTGTGCGATAAAAATAGAATGAACATCAGGTAGAGCCGATTGAATGACTTTGATGTACGAGGGTTGTCCAAAAAGTTCGTGGACATATACTTAATTTTCTTTATAAAGTCCGAAATGGCAAACATGTGCGATCTTAATATAGACCATGATTGAGTAAATGTACAAAAAATTAAAACACTGCACACTATTTACTGAACATTATAGGTGTAAATACTTTGTATATGCAAGTCGCACGGGCCAGTCTGACGTAACGCTTATTTCATGATAATGTCAGAAATATGAATTTTGAATTTTTATCGCATGTTCATAGACGCACGCTATTTTTCTTTATTATGCCACATTGCCAAATGTGTGCAAAAATATTTATGCATAGATTATAATTAATTTAAATTTTAAGATTCAAAACAATGCACAATAATTTACGAGCGTCATCAATATCAACACTTCGTAAATACACGATGCACAGCCCAGCCCGACGGCGCTATATTTATAACAACGTCATGAATAGAAATATATCCTATTTTCATCAAATAACAGTGGTTTCCACTTCTTGTAGTGTCTCCGAAATTTTACACACCGTTGAAAAATCGTATACACCAATTACAAATCACTAGACTAAATATTTTCCAATAAATTTAAGTTGTTTGAATAAATACAGATCCTGAAACGTGCTACTACCCCAAAAAAGCGTGTGACTTTCGTGCGCTTTTCGTTTCGTGCAAACCGTGTAGCGTTTCGTGTAAACCGTGCAGCGTTTCGTGCAAACCGTGTAGCGTTTCGTGTAAACCGTGCAGCGTTTCGTGTAAGCCACAAAGCGTTTCGTGCAAACCGTGTAGCGAGCGTGCGAGAAGCGTGTGAGAAACGTGCGACTTTCGTGTAAGAACCGTGTGAGAAACGTGCGACTTTCGTGCAAGAATCGTGTGAGAAACGTGTACGATTCTTTCGGAAGTCCTTTTATTTTAAATATGGCTATCAATGTATCAACATGTCATTCTGTGTTGTTTGTAACTAATATTATTCGGATATATACTGACGGCATTTTAAGGGTGAAAAAAAAAATACGGAAACAAAATAAAATTACTCGGTAATATATTACATATTTGTTTGATTTTCTTTCTTTTTTATTTCAATAACGCTGGGCGGAATATGTGTTAAAAGTAATAAATTATATGCACATAAACTTCAAGGTATTTGATTCACTACATTTTTAAAAGGGAGCAATACTGAACATTTTTCAAAGAAAATTCATTTGGAATCCGGTCTTGTCTTTTTCATTCATTAATTTGAATCTCTTCACCATTTTACAATGATGGGATATAGAGATTACAAGAACATATCGGTCATTAATACAAAATAATAGATAGATATTGCAGGAGTGAAAAATAAAATGCAAAATTTAGTGCTTTGCTATAAATGTAAAGTATTGGAATTATAGGCCGGGGAGCACAGTTAATTGATTTTCTTTATAAACAAACATAATTTTCTTATATTACTAGATTGTGATACAAATAATTTTGAAACGATGAGTCATTTCTGGTCTTTTTTATGCATAAAATTGGTTGATTTATAATAGTCATATAAATGAATTATAACCCACATGCATCGGCAAATACAGGGTTAAATATTTACGGGAGGGGGTGATCAAATGAAAACACAAATTGAGTTTCTGTTTTAAACAAGTGTTTTATTGATCATTTTCTTTAAAAAAAAAAATTGTTTCTTTCGGAATGCGCCCGATGCACCCCTTAAAAATATACTGGAATCTTCTTTACGCTTTCAACACTCTTCTTACGACTGTGATCAAGGTCATTTACAACAGCGATCACGGACTCCGCGTGCCAGGACTGAAACTTGTTCTGCTATTATCTCTTGTCAATCATAGCTCCGATGACACCCGACAATAACGATTGATTTTTAATTCGTGAAATTGAACGTTTTTACTAGTATTTAATGGGTATAAATAAATACCTGTGGGTCTTATTTCTTTAATTTATCCGATTGTCTGTAAACAGTGAATGAATTTGCCAGTGTATTCGTGAATAAAATTATAAAGAAATAAATTCTGAATAATTATACATTAGTTGTTTTATTAATCACGCAGTTCTAGATTTTATTATTTTTTTTTTTAGTTTTTAGGACATTGGACATGTATACATATATATTGAAGGTATTGTTAAGAGCCGCGACTATTGATTACATAATTATCGATTTTTTTTGTCTAGACGGGGTTTGAAATGGTGGTGGGTATATTGTTTTTATAAACACAATGCCTCAACAGAGAACTAAAGAATTACAATACCTACCCCCCCCCCCCCCCCGGCTTTTCTACCATATAAAATTTTAATGATAAATTAAAGTTTAACTCTATAATGAAACGATATATTTACCATTCTGAATAATGTGCATGTATCGGGTCCCGCTGGATATGGATATCCTTTTTTTTCTTAGAACGGGCACTTGTTTCTATGATAATTTTTTTTCCCGATGGTATACTTACTGAAACAACTGCCTGTTATATTTAACCATGTAGAGATTTGAAGATACAACAGTAAGATCTCGGTATTCTACCCCCCCCCCCCACCCCCCCCTTTCCTGCACAATGTTCCTGTTTGATACAGTTTACTTATTACCTTTGCAAATTCTAAACAGAACCTTATTTAATCAAATGAAATTATTTTCTTTTACTAAATCAAAAAATGTATCAATCAATCAATAATTAATAAAAGGGGGAAAAAAATAAATCCGTTTACAGAAATCATACGCAATTAAATCATTTTTTTTTTTCAAATCAATAACTGGGTTTATTTATCAGTAATAAAATGACATTTTAAATATCAAACTATAATTGTTAAAACATTAAATTTTGTAAAAGATTATGAATTACAAATATAACAATTTTTTTTTTCAGTGCGTAATTTAGAGTCTAGTGAAAAAAGGTTTGTACACAGACGATGATAAGCATTTCACCGCGCGGGTCACATACTCAGTGACAACTATTAATTAATTACAACTGAACATTGAATATTTTATCTGTTAATAGATAAGGTTAGCGAGTTTTAATCTAAACTTAATCTGAATGATTGCAAATCTTAACTAATCTTTGATTAATCCGTAATAATTAAAATAAAGTCCGAGAGATCCCGAATAGAAAATCCAGATCGAGGCCAAAGCGTGCGAGAATCGTGTACAAAGCGTGTGAGAAACGTGTACAAAGCGTTTCGTGCAGGCTTTCGTGTAAACCGTGCAGCCTTTCGTGCAAAGCGTTTCGTGTAAACCGTGTAGCGTTTCGTGCAAACCGTGTAGCGTTTCGTGTAAACCGTGCAGCGTTTCGTGCAAACCGTGTAGCGAGCGTGTACCGTTCGTACAGCGTGCGTGTGGGGTAGTAGCACGTTTCAGGGTCTGTAGTTTGTTTTTGACGACGTTTCAACCATATTAACAATAATTGTATGATTGGACGCTGTCCCGTTCGGATGGCCGACATCGCTTTTTCTGTCAATTTTTGAAACATACTTCTTGCGGTTTTCACTTAATATTTTCATTGTCTATTTAGTAAGCGATACTAAAGGTATCAGAAAATGGCGATAACCGCTTTATTTGTGATAATTTGAATTTATATTCAGCTTTGACTCGTTTTAAAAAGAAAATAATCATTTCAATCAGATCACTTTATTTAAAAGTTCAGGCATTTTAACGCTGGTCCGTGCGCACTATCGGCGACCTTTAATGACCGACATTTTCACAAAAATATTAAGTTCAAACAATAAAAACCAAACTATTCCGACTTGGATTTTCATAACTAATATTTTGGTGTACAATAAGCACATCTTGAGCCATTCATTTTGGCAAAAACGCCATTGTCCACGAACTTTTTGGACAACCCTCATACATTATGAATAAAGACACATTGGCTACAAGAATATTGACTCAATATATTTGTTCAGTAAATGATGCGATTAGTTTTGGGACTTGATTGAAAATTCATCAAAGAAATAGATTTTTTTTATTCACATTGTTAACAAATCAACAAAAAGAATTATAAAAACAATCGAAAACTGAATCATTTATAACCATTAACCAGGTATATTGCATGTCAAATTGCCTAACAACTTGGCCAGGAAATATAAATGTACGAGGGTTGTGTTGTCCCAGAAAAACGCGAACTTTTTTCAATATTTTTCGTTTCACTAATATTATAAAGTTAAAAATTGGCATGCACTATAATCAACATTTTTTACATAATTCACAGAAATTTCAATAAAATATCTCTATAAATAACATTTTCTCTCTGATAAATCACCCATTCAAAGTAGCTCCCGGCGCAACACCGACGACGTCAGAACGTAGCTCATGGAGTTTTTGGATTTGTTCAGGAATCGTGCGTCTTTAAAAATTCGTTCGAAGCAGAAATTCGAAACTGCATTTGATTATTTTTAGTAACCGAGCTATCCATTTCACGCGAACTACAGTTAAGAATAAATCAAGGAATTTATTCTTATAATAGACAATTTTCCAACCCCGATCATAAACTTAACTACTTGCATAGTTAACACCGTCTCCACGTATAACGTCCAGCGCTAGACTTCAGTCTGTCGTCATTTTGGTTGGTCTACCAGACGCTTCTTCCATGGGATAACCAGTCCATCCATCTTTGAACCTCTTTTCCGACTTTCCTTGCCCGACTTGGCCGTTTTTGACAATATCTAATAGTGTTTTGTCATATAACGTCATATTTTTTTGTTATTTATGATGTCAAAGTATTAATTTTTTACACACAAGTACTTTAGATCGTACAGTTTCTATGGATGTAATTTTTGTTACATTATATTTCCGTATAGCCTTGTAATAAAGAAAATTTTAGATGGCAATGTTAATTCTGAAAGTCAAAAAATTGCCGTGCGCCGACCACTGATATTTAACACCCTTTAAATGCTGTTTCTAAATGCATGTGACATTCCAACTTTGCAGTATTTGGTAAAAATGACGAAAATATCATTTCCCAATATTGTGCCAGAAATGAATAATTTTGGTAAGGTAGTTTATGAAATATTAAAAAAGTTCGCGTTTTTCTGGGACAATCCTCGTATATGCTATTCATTTTGGATAAGAGAAGAAGTTTGTTTAACTTCCCTTCGAGAATCTTTTACTTATATTAAAAGGCCACGACTTGCCAGTAGAGGGCTGCAAATTTAGCCCCGTATTCGGCACTTAAAACCTTTGAACTGTGAGGTATCTTTTTGTGCCAGTACCTTCTACGACATTGGACCTCGGTGTATGTTGTCTTATTCGAAGGATCGGTCTCAATATCCCACCGTTCAATTCACACCCGCGAAGTTAGGATTACTTTGGCAACTCTAGAGCAAATGAATAGATCATTGTTATCTGTAAAAAGCTCAATTTTTGCACCTTTCTTTTTTTCAAGACCTTCTTGACACAGCTACTTCAGATGGAATGGAGACGGATAAGGGAGAAAATGCACTTTCAGAAAGGTTGAAATTTATTATTATTATTATTATTATTTTACAAATCATATAAATACATTTACTTAGATTTCTAAACACTTCTACCCATAGAATACAAAAACGGGAAGCAGCAACAAAATAATGAAAATAATATTTAACCGATACATTGTATAGCGTAAAATTTTAAAGAGGAACAATTTTTGTTTACCATAAAAAATGAGAATCTTTTGAATATTTAATTGATTTGTTTAATATTTTAGCTATCCTAGGATGCCAGATACCTTCAGTGAGTTACCATAGCAAACTGAATATTTTCTGACGTCATAGATAATTTAGATCATTTTCTGTATTTCGTAGACAATTAAGATAACGTTCTATATTTTGATCAAAACAAATATATTGCATTCGATTTATAAATTGAAAAAAAAAAAAATAAAAATAAATAAAAGTCATGGAAGAACTTTCTTTTATTTTTCTCAGATCAGCTTTTAAGAATAGGATCTTAAGTTTCATAAATGTTTTAACCTTTAAGGTACCAAAAAGAGACGAAGAAGAAGGAAGAAAAATAAACATCATATAGGTAATACTTTGTTCTAAAAACATGCAATGCAAACACTCTCTTCAGAAGATATCTTGGGAAAAAAAATGAAATGGATATGTCTATGAATGTTTGTAAAATATTGAATCACTGAGAAATGACTGAAGTGTGTTGTAAGTAGCCTTTTAAAGCTGAATTAAAATCTATATATACATGTATGTCATAGCAAGTTTTAGCGTATGGAAGTCTTCCATATCATTCAAAAATACTCTAACATTCCTCTTTAATAAAAAGAAGATTTATATTAAGGTATTTCCACCATCAATTTTAATGGTTCAAAGTAGGAAAACTTCATTTATTTTCACAGAATATAGTTTAAATTAACAAATAATCACAAAAATGTATAGGTTGCCATATTTTTAAGGCACAAGACGTAAATAAACAGAAGTATATGTCAATATGAAAAATAATACATTTTTAGTAAATAGTATACCGGTAATAAAAATTATGTAAAAACTGGTTCAAATACACTATTTGGAAGTTAAAAGTTCCAAAATAATTGTTTTTTTATAAATATATCTGAAATGTGAATATCAGGGAATTCATTTTACATTGAAAATACAATGAAGAAAATAAAATGCCTGAATGAAGGTGCATGAGAAGGAGTTATTGCCGTTAGCAACATTTTTAAAAGATCAAATAATTGATTACGTAAAGGAAATATATATTTTATTCAATATCTTACTTAACAATATTTTTTACTACACCTATTGAGAAGCAGTATTTATCTATTGGCTATGAATATAAATTAAAAACAGTTTTGGCAAAAACCTGTGAGATCACAGGAGGATGGAAATACCTTACATGATGAATCGTGAAAATGAAATGAAATACGAATATAGTAAATCTTTGTTTTTGTTTCTTTAAATATTGCACATTTGGAATTACAAATAGAGCATTATGACAGTTATCAAACTGATAATATTGTAAATCTTTTCCCCTTTAAATATTGCATATTTAGAATTTTGAAAAAGCATTATGACTGTTGTCAAACCATTAATACTAGGTGAGAACACTAATCATATATTCTGCTCCACCTAATATATAAATAATTCAGCGTGCATGTTTGATTTTTGCTGGAAATAGGCGTTTTTCCTCCAGAGTTCCATAAAAATTCATTCTTCTGATTTTCTTTATAATATTTTCAGACGATTTTCGTGTGAAAGGAAAAGGGGGTAAACAATAAGGACATACTTTAATCCGAGAGAAGGTTTGTTTGTAGAGATAAAAACACTTAAATTTGTTGGATGAGGAAAATAAAATAAGTTTTCTGTTTTACAAAGCAAATACAATATATTCAAAAAAGAAGAAAAAATGTATATATATGCTCGTATAAAGAATTTACACTACAATTAAATATTCGTTATTAAAATCATGTCCTTCACGTCCTTTTTCAGGAGGGCAAGGGCACTGATATCCATCAGAGTCGGTGTTTTCATCAATTACTCGACTAGGCTGCTCACATTTAGGCATGAGAAGTGTTGATGGCTGATGGTTCTGCGGAGGATATCTGTCAAGCTGAGGAATCGTTGAATCTTCCTCATCGTTTTCAATTGTTTCGTACGGATTTGCCTCAGATTGTTGATGTTCATCATAGGACATTGTGTTTGACTCAGGGACAGGCAGTCTTAATAAGTTTTTATCGTGTACAAGCGCTTGTATTGGTTCGTAATATACAGGAACGTTTTGATCCTTTACGAAGTCATTTACAATAACTCCTCTTCTTTTCCGACATTTGTTTATTGCATAAATAGCAGCTACCATAAAAGATACTGTAAATCCTATCGCAAGAATTAGGTAAAGCGGATTGTTGATAAGTAATTGATCAGATATATTGCTACGGAATCGCACATTATTGAAAATTCCCGAGGATTCAGTTGACTCTGAAGAAGAGTTGTAAGATTTGGATACTGATATATTCTTAAATAATGTGACCTTGGTGAATCTTTCCTCGAGAGAATTGTTAGTAGAATATTTGATGGTTGTGATGCGCTGTGTTCCTATGTTAAGCTGAGAAATAGTAGATTGAAATGATGTGTGCTTTTCGGTGGTCATATGCCTAGCCACTGTAGTGGTTTCTCTAGTTGTGTTCTTGTATATTGCTGAAACAGATAACTATATCGATACTATATAAAGTTTACTACTCTTCTAGTTTTTTTTCTTCCATTTTTAACTTCACGGTTGTGGTTTTTATTAAAAAAAATCTTCTCTCTCTTTCTCTCATACTTGATAATAAACCTATTGAGATAAATATAAGTGTTATTAAGGAATTTCTACAATTAGAGCGTAAGTTAAGGAAGTAATAAATATAAAATTATTACTTGAAATATGTGCACATCCGGTTTTCCTGTCACATAATTGTTCATCACACAAGCAGAATAATTGGCAATTGACACCATAATTTGGATATCGGCATTCATGAAGGCAGTTTACTCCAAAATAACCGGGTTGACATTCTGAAACTCAAAATAGAAAAAAAGGTGTCTACTTTTTATTTTGATTGTTAAAGGAAATAATTTAATTTTTTCTTTTCATGCCCTTTGTCTGATTTAACCGTTTGAGTACTTTGTTGAATGAACGGTCTGTAAAATTTTTATGTATCAATATTTGAATGCTCCTTTTGCAAATGACTAATCTTAATATTTTTTAAAAATAAATTTTGTCTGGATACAATACTGAGATTTACCTTTCGATTGCGAACATCCCGAGACCACGTGACAGACTGATGGATCACATTTACAAACATGTTGACATCCTTTGCCATAACTTGGGTACCTACAATTGTGGGAGCAATGTTGTCCTATGTATCCCGGGAGGCATTCTGAAAGGAACACGTTTTAATTGTCTAGCGCAAGGTTTATTTTATTAAATAGATTTTACATTTACTAAGACAAAAATTAGAGTAAAATAGGTCACACATTTGCTCATGGGAAACAAACTACCAAACAATGCTTAAAAATGTTACCAGATTTAAAACAGAAATACAGCTTTAATTTCATACTGAAACTGACAATAATTATTTGAAGCAGGAAAAACTTCAAGCAAAATAAAAGAGTTTCAAACCTTTGCATTTTCCATTTTGGGCATGTCTGAAAAATATTATATTTATCATTGATAATAATATCTTGTACCTTATAGTTCAGGCAATGGTAAAATGTCTTTTGTTGTGAGAGAGAAATTAAAACAAATCTTACCCAATACAGTTCTTAATGGAACAAAGCACAATCTTCAACGAAACAAAAACAATGCACAAGAAAAAGTACATCTGTAACTGCTGCATCTTTTTGGAGCAATTATCAAACATCGATTCCTTGTGTAAGTCATTCGAGTTATAACTTTACAGAAAAAAGACTGTTTTGCACAAATATTTCAATTGCTTTTATAAAACAGGAAGTTCAGTATTTTTATAAATTTAATAATTGGAGTTCCTGAGTACAATCATCATCTTATTTCTTAATGATAGAAAAATTATTTTTAAATTATAATATACATTTAGAATATTAAAATTGCTTATTGTTATCTTTCAACTTTCATATCGTCAATATATATTCAAAAACAGTGTAAAAAATATTATCTTAAAACGTCATTCAGAACGTTCTTAATTGACTGCCTGAAGATATTTTTTTTTCCCTCTGAAATTAAAATATCGAACTTTAAAAGGAATTATAGATGCATATATTTATATCCATTTTTTGAAAATTTTTATCTAAACTTTAAACTTCCAATTACGGACTTGTGCTATCTATGTGCCTATCTCCTAGCACTAAATATGTAACACAAACTTAACAAATACTGTAATAAACGTTCTCTGGCGAATATTATTGTTTTATTGTATTTGTTAAGATGGAAGGACCGTTTGAATGGGTTTATTATATACTACTAGCTTTTTGTAATCCGTTAGAAAATATCCATCACGCTCAATAGTGTCACTAGATGTACGCTTATATCCTTTAATATGGTATAATAATATGCTTTGATATTCAATTTCTTGATTAGAATTAAGTTGGTTTGTCATTGCATTATCGAAAATTTTTTTCTTAATATGATTTAAGAATTTGATAGTTTCATTGATTTACAAAAATCTTTATCATACGTATAAATGATTGTGCATAACAAAAGGGTATTGGTAAGGAACATACCATTGAATATTCGCAACAATATATAGTTTCCTTTTTTCTAAATTTCCAAAATACCGATCAGTATGATAAACATCGAAATAAAATATTAGTACTAAATCTGTGCAAGAGTACTTTTCAAAGGACAGTTGAAGCTTGTAGCTTTATTGTTCATGATTCCTCAAGAAATGAAAAAAAAAAAAAATAAAAAAGATGCTACCAATTTGACTAATTTTTTTTTTTTTTTTTTTTTTTTTTTTATAAACATGCATTTCATCATATAAGGAAAAAAAAACAAGCTTAATTAAATAAAAGCGATTTTTCAGAATATATGAACAAGAAAGGTTTAAATGCAATAAATATATGTTCTGATGACATGAAAAATCTGTCATATTTATTGACGGCTTCTCATTTCCTGATAATCACGACACTGTTTTGATATTTTGTATCTATTACTAAAATTATAATTTTTATTACCATTGGCCGTTTAATGTATGTACATGAAAAAAAAGTTTGACATTTGTTTTAATTTAAATCAAAACATTCACTCATTGCTAATTTGTTGATGTATTGCTATTGGACATTTTGCTACATATTAATAATTTATTAATTCTTTGTGTTAAGGTCATCTGTAACAGTTTTCTTTTCATTCTATCGATCATATTATCTTTTGCATAAACGTGAAAAAGTTCAACCTGAGTTATATTTATCTTTTGTGATATTTATCAAAAAGACATTTTTTTCTTGTATTGGATTTTTTTTGCACATATTAGAGGACTAACAGTCCAACGTATAAACATATTATAGATGAATAACTATTAATAACTACAGACATATAAACATTTTATAGATAACTGATTTCTAATATATAAATTTTTTATTATAACAATTTATTATGCTAAGTATTTTTATTGAAATGTAACAATTATTGATATTTTAGCTTACCAGAAAAAAAAATTAAGGAGATTAATCACATAATAACACCGATGAGTTTATAAAGTGACTAAGCTTCATATTCCTTTACAAAAGTATACAACAAAGTGACAAAACTAAGCAAAACTTAATAACAATTACACATACAATTAAGCTAGTACATGTATGAACAAAAAACTAATATAATGTACGATTGAATATGACAACAACGAATATACGATGTATATACTGCCTTAAAACAACAATAAACAACATTTTTACAAACTCTGATTTTCTTCCAAAAACATACGATTAATGATAGAATACAGTAAAACTCGTTAAGTACGAACACGGATATAATGAATTTACGGATGTAGGGAAGTTTTTATGCAATCCCTGGCGAAATTCTTTATAAAAATCTATATTGCTAAGTCGCTATGTATACTTTAACGAATTTGTTATATGGATACACATGTATAACGAATTACGGATATAGCGAAGTAAATTCTCAGGTCCCCAAACTTCGCTATATTCGAGTTTTACTGTATATCATTCTGGTGTGTAGAGACCTTGATAAAATTATTTTTAGAATTATTTCAACTTGCATAAGAAAACTGTTTATTTGCTATAAATAATGGACAAATCAACATTTTTTGTATATCCTTGGTATTAACCCCTCCAATACTGTAGAATTAATTGATTATAGAATTTTCAACTGACAGCAGTTCAAAATATACCGGTTGTATTTCAGTAATTTTAGATTTAAGTGTTTTAACTTTACACAGGTAGGTACCAGTCACCCAAATAGGATATAATAACCCGTTTCGGATATAATATCCCAAACGGGATATAAATAATTTACAGTATAAAAAATAAAAATGTAAATTTGGCTACAAATGTCATAAATCTGCATTAAAATACTTCAAAAGGAAAAAGTTTTAGCAAGCAGGTTTTTTCTGCAACCCGACAGTTTGTAAGATTGATCCCCAGGAAGTTAAAGAACTTCCGATGGATCAATCTCCTTTACAATGGGCATACAGAAAAACTTGTTAATCAAAAGTTATTCCTTGATAAGCATCTTGATGCGGATTGATGTTATTTAGAGCCCAAGTATTTTTTTTTTATTTTTTGCAAATAAATTTATATCCCATTTGGGATAAAAATCCCAATCAGGTTATTATGTTCCTTTTGGGAGATTGGTCACAACCTGTTAAAAGTTAAACTGTTATATTTCATTTCCTACTATTCCCAGCTGCAATTTGTATACTAGGAAAATTTTGCTTGTTTATTAAGATTATTTTCCCCAAATGAATTTGTTTATTGACTTCGACAAAAAGAGACTTTTAGATTTGGAAGAAAGTTATAAAGTAAACCACAGTCTGATAAAAAGTTTCAAGCCGTTATGGTTAATCAATGTAACACATTTTAAATTAACTATAGTCACTACAAGTACAATTCAAGATTCTATCAGGTCTACTTGGCGGTTTTGAATGCCTAAAAGTTAATGACGATGAGTCTGTTAGGATGTTTTATTTGCAAGCATAAATTTGAAGTAGTATTCAAGTACTGCTGTCATTTTCAAAAGCCTTATCCCTTTCCCTTACTACACATTCTTTTCCAATGTCTTTCTTAGGATCTTTGCTATTTAACCATTTTAAGAATTTACGAGTACTACCTACATATTCCCGTGTACCTATTAGCACAGGATGTCAATTTAAAGCGTCATAGACGTTTGGATTCTCGGTCATCATTTTTGTTTCCTCCTAACTTTGTGATTTTGAGAATATTAATGTAATCATTTTCAGTGTTGATTTCGTTCTTTTTGTCTTTGGAATCGCAAGTTTCCCTTTCGTCCAGATCTTTGTACAAGCTATTCCTTTCAGCTCGACTTTCATATTTGACATGTCGGTGTCTTAACTTCTTTCGTATTTTTCAGATAGGGATTCTTCACATTTTTAGATAGACTTAAATCCAACGGCGAGAAGTATTAAGCAAAGAGCACCCACAACACCAATGAGAATCTGAGTTGTTTGTGATTCCTACTTTGATTTGTTTGGTTTTTGCAGATTTCAGCTCATCTAGTGTCTTTTTAGCAGGATGTGTAGTTTGTTTCGGAATTGGATGAAGATTGTCCCTAGATTTTAAGTCAGTTATCTTTCTAGCTGAGTAAGTATGTTCTTTTATAACTACATTAAGACCGTATCTTTATAAGTGGGAAGGCGCACTACAGAAAAAATAAAAGAGCTTGATCAAGGAATTTTTCATATGTCTGTGACACAAGAATAAAAATTTAACCTATATGATATGAAGTTTCCAAATACCTTTACAATATTTATTCATATCATACCACTTTAAAAAGTATACATGAAATTTAAGAGCGGGACTTTATAAAAAAAGTTGAAAGTCTATATATTTAATTCCGTGGAAGAAATATGTTCTAGTACTAACGTGGACATTGTAGTTTACACTGAAAAAATAATTAAAAATATCAGACACATTGTTTAATATACATTTGGTAATTGCATAGGTAGATAATATTAATATTCTACTGTAAAGTATTTATTCGAAACCTGTCCAATCTTTGCATGCTGTAGAGACGTGTATGTCACAGTATTCCTCTATATAGATGCATATGTTTTGGCATGACTTACAATAACCTGGGTATCTAAACGGAATTGAACAATTCTAACATATATAATCGAAGGGACATTCTAAAACTTAAGAGTAAAGCGTTGTGTAAGAAACTGATTCCTTAATTTGTCATATCTTTGCAATCTTTCGAGATCCCGTCGAAAAAAAAATCCGGGACAACACAATTTCTCACCATCCCGGAGAATCAAAAAGCTCATTTTAGTAGCAACAATAATGTGTGTAATCATTTTTTTTTTCTCAGACTGCCCCTTTGCTGAAAAAAAGAATGGATAAATAAATAAATGTAACGATGAACTTTTGAAAAATTAAATATAGCATAATTTTTTTTTTTTTAATTTCCAAACAAGTAAACTATCTAGATAATATATATTATGATTCCGTAAGGTTGGCTTCGACTGTTGGCTGTATAAACATTACACAAAACAAGTTAATTAACAAGAAATTAACAAGACAAATTTCTGTTAGATACATTGCAGATGTGAACGCTAACCTTCATGAGGGCAATCAAAAAACATATGTTAACTCAATTTTTATATAATTGATAAATTCAAATTATCTGACGTAACTATTATTTAAAAATTCTCTGAATTTACTTCAAAAT